GGCAAGTTTCAAAACAACATAATACCAACAAATTATTTATCCACTAAGTGCCTCAAGTGTACACTCTTTGTCACAATTACAAAACTATGGTCAGGTAACTAATACTTTACAAACTACATTTTACTATTAATATTCGACTCGGGCCCAAACAACACTTTTTCAATCACTAGTTACCACCCAAATAAAACTAACGTATAGGGATATATTTGATCACAATATTACTTAACAAATACAACAAACAATATACATTTCAAAAACGTGCATCATTGCATACTTATACATTCATATCATCCTTTAAAACCATGAAAGGCAGATAAGAGTCTCATGCCTAGCATACAAAGTACTCGATCAAGATATAATATTCAAACTATGGCCATGAGGAGTAGACAGAAGTCTCATGGCTAATAGATACGAGTTAATTAAAATAGTAAGTCACATGCTCAATCAATCAAAATATAGCCAAAGTTGGCAACAATATACATTGTATAACTAGATAAAGAGGTTAGGGTGAGAGATGGTGCCTTATACACCAAATCACGTCTTTGGTACTTTCTAAACCAAACTTGTTTCGATAAAAATTGTTAACTATAGGGAATGACACTTAAAAGTCTCAGTAACTAAAATTAATATATAATAATGCACGTGAGGCAATTAATTATGAGATTACTAAGTGGGCATATAATTGCAAATTTTTAGTCATATGATATTCATTCAATCAAACAAAAACAAGTAATGCATGACATCATCTTATATCCTTTCTTACACAATGTTCAAATGCTAAATCACCTGGCCAAAAGTAAGTTGGACTAAGCTATACGTCACTCATTAGGTCTAATAAGGGTTTATCACATGATAAATCATAATCAGACAAAACCCCCTACAAACAATTTAATACAACTCGACAAGTGATGCACATTTTATAATAATCGGACTAAATCATTATGAACATTCTTTCAATCACCAGAAAAAAATATATCTAGACAAAATGTCTTATGCTTTCAATAATGCCTATAGTAACAGGGTGATCATATACAAATCAAATCCACTTATGTCTTGGACAACAAGTTTTCCTTCACAACACCACTTCCTTTACTTCATTGGTCAACACAATCTACACAACTAATTAATAACATATACTATTAATTTTTAATTAACAACAACAACAATTAATTCTAATTATAGAGTTAATGAGTCTAAGCCTAAACCACACTTTGTGCTAAACTGAGTTTAGTACCCATTTTAACTCTTCCAAAAATTCTTTCTTACACCTTTTATTCTTATAAGCTCTAATTAAACCTTGAAAAATCCCAACATTAATATTTAGTCATCACATAGCCTTAAAATTCATCCAAAAATACCCCAACAATCATAAATTGTCCTCAAACATCAATTCATCGTTCCAATACTTTAGAAACACTTATCTATACTTAAATAAGCATCTAAACATATGAAATCAACCCCTACAATTTCAAATTTAACCAAACATCACCGACTAAGTCCAAGGTTTAACTTCAAAATCCTCAAATTCAAATTTTAACCTTAAAAAATTTTCTATAACATTTATTAGATTCTCAAAAACCTCATCACCATTAATATAGCATCATAAATTTGAGTTAAACCTCCCATAGGTAAACCCTAAATTTGAAACTTCCTCAATCTCAAAGAAGTTTAGGTAGATAGATAACTTAAAGGACTTAGAACTTACCCCAAATGGTTGCTCGACTTGAAAACACCTCAAAGTTGCTGGATTCTTATGCCTTAACAGAGCTCAATTGGAGCTGCTTTTGATTTTTCAGCACCCTTTACGCGTTTTGTTGTGGCTAGTTCATGTTGGTCCATGTGTGGATGGGCATTTAATTAAAATGCCCTTGTTTTAGGTTCCATTTGCAAAAGGTCGAGCCTTGTGTTGGGCTCCTCCACGTGCAGATAATCACTAAGGGCCCAATACTTACCTTTTTGGGTTCAGTTTGACTTAAACACCTATTTTGGACCCTATATAACCCTTCTACTATATTTTTGGCCAATAACACTCATAATTAATTCCTAAACACTCAATTAACCTCAATTCACCTCGAATACATATTTATTTCTCTAATATCTCCTTAATGTAATATTAATACTCATTTGAATTCCTCATTGAAAAATCTCAATTCCACAAGTTATTCTTTATTAAAAATCAAGATTTTACATTCTATATTCAGCAAAGTTTAACTGATTTTACATGGTTCACAAGCTTAGTATAAGTATTCACAAGTTTAGTTTTACTAATAACTAAAATGATTTAGAAAATCACTAAAGTCCAACTAATTTTAACTTGTTTATAAATATTCACAAGTTTGGTTCCAATGACTAAAAAGATTTAGAAAATCACAAACTCTCTAAATTGTAAAAGGGTATTAAATTAATTCTACATATAAATTTAATTTCAAAGAAGTTCTTTACAACTTCATTATCATTATTACATTTTACAAACCGAATTATTATTTTCCTATTTCAAAGAGATTTGTCTATAATTCTCCCACAAAGAAAAGTAAATAAATGTAGCATATTTCTTTAGATTATCTACACTGAACTATTCCAATCTATATCATTATTAAATAATTCTAGCACTAATTTTATTTTATGATTGTATCTCAAACATAATTGTTTTTAATACGAGAATACCCGTGAATAATAAAAAAATATAACTTATAAAAAATAGTAGCCTAACAAATCACTCCAAAACATAGTTATCTATTTTACAACATGTTGGTTTTTCAGGAAAGCAATGGACATTTAAAAGTAATGAACATTTTGATTTTTGAGGAAAGCATTTTCAATATGTATAGTTTAATTTATATTGATTAGATTTAATATATCAAATTACTAATAGTTAATATATGAATAAGTATAAAATATTTTACAAATAAATGAACATACTAAATATTGAAGAGTGCCAAATTTAATATGAATTCTATATTTTATAACAATAATAATTAAATTTTATTAAACAACATTCATATTAAATTCCAATTTATATTGAATTGAATAAAATAAAAATAAATGTACAAAATATAATAACAACAATTGTTAATAATTTAGAATGTCACTTGTAACAAATTTAAAACATCACTGGTAATATTTGAACAAAATAATGGAAGATGATTGATATCTATAAATTCAAAGACTATACTAATTTCTTCTTAGAAACCCAACCCAAGAAAAGATAAAAAATGAGGAGAAAGTATTAATATGCTAAATTTGAGATTCAAAATTTAACCATATTTATTATAATATTACCCATTAAAGGTAACTATAAACATATATTTACATTAATAATTATTACTAGTTAAGTTTATAAAATTAAATATTTAGTTTTATTATCTTGTTATGCATGATAGCAGCCTTCTTGATAATAACATACTTAATAATGTGAAGAATAATAAAGATGGTAAAATGATATCAAAAGAGCTTAGATTCCTCAGGCGACTTCACACAATCTTCTTATTTTATTTTTCTCATTGACTTACATATGGTGTAGTGAAGATCACTTATTTTTCAAATGGAAAATCGTATCGAATGACATGTGAAGAATGTTATTTGTAGACAATAATCCATAATAAATTATCATTACAAAAAAATTATATTTTTATTTTAACAACAATCTATTTTTTATAGGTTATTAACTATAGACAATATTTTTCATAAATCCTTAGATGCCATTTTCCTTTTTTTAAAATATAGTGTATTCATAGTATAATTTTTTATAAGATGAAATTAATCCTTTTTCATAAATGAATCATCCTTGTGTCTATTTTTAAATGGTCTCTCACCCTATTAATTGCTTGATCCTCTAGCACGTTCTTGGATAGGCATTCACCATTTGATGATGCACCACCAAACCCAACCTCATTTGGAGGAGCTTAAGTAAATATACTATATCACATTAATATCCTTTAATTCATTAGAGATATATCTAGTACATTTTGGTTGAACAAATTTTCATGAAATCATGTAAATTTCAAAATAAATGTAATTTTTTTTCTTTGTCAACATATGAATCATAATATTTGAAATATCAATATTCATATAATGCATGGTATTTGAAATATCATCAGTATATATATCATTTAAGATTTGTTATCCACAAAAATCAAGTTATATATTGGCGTAGCTCAATCCTCAATTAAAATTTTAATATCAAACAAAATCAAAATAATTTTATTAAGATTCGGCCACTTTTTTCTGTCAAAAGTCTATACAAGTTATAAAATGCTTTTAAGTATAATAAATATTAATACAAATTTATAAAATTAATCATTAATATATTGATATAAAAATTATTGAAAATGATATTACATTTGATTTTTAAATTCATGATAATTCTTTTATATTTTTGTTAAAGATGCTTTTTTTTTTGGTAGAATCAGAAGTATCTCAGTAGATATAAAATTATCAATGGGTGTACAGCAACGGTTAATTTTTTTATTCAAATAGTGGAGGATAGAAAATAAATTCTTCCCAACATGATTTATTAATGATTAATTTAATTAGTTTATTATTTTTGCAATTTGCATTTCACAAAAGTATTAAATTATAAATTAAATTAGATAAATCCCCTTAAAGCTCTTCCAATTCTTCAGCCATAAGTTGTTACAAGTCACTGCCGGCAAAGATATCAGCAACGGAAAAATCCTTTTAATGTAAAATTTTAAAGAAAATTAATTTTATTGCTGTTGTATGGCACCACGCGCCCTATGTGATCCGAACTCGATGACAAAGTGGTTGATTACCAAATGGGTCCCATCACATTGTCGAGCGTGTATAACACGCATGATAGAGAGTTTCATTTTTAACCCTGTAATTTATATTGAAATATTAATATAAATATAACTATCAAGCGAAGACAAAGAAAAGGAAAAACTTTAATTGTGGGGAAGACATGGTACCGTGTTTGTTTTCTCGTTTACCTCGGCGTGTTCGCATATGAAGGAATATATATATATATTTACGCACGCATATATATTTTGCTGCCACTCTGGGTGTCGCTTCTTCTTGAGCTTTAATGGCGTGAGAGAGTACGCGGGGGAGTACAGCTACGGTGCCCAGTAACCGTATGCAAACCTTCAATCTTTGCATGCCTTACCAACCCTTCACAAATGAAACCCAAAAACCCAAATGAGATGATTTTTTCTTTTGAAATGGAAATGTAATTGAAAATTTCCATCGCCAAGAGTCGCTTTCTTTTAGCTTCTTCTGTACCTGACTAAAAACGATATGTTTTCCGAGGGTGTATTATTGAGCCTGTACGAATCGACGTCGAAATGGGTTTTCTGATTTTGTGATTGCTCTGATCGCTTGGACTGCGATTTTTCTATTTTTCTTTATTTTTTGTTTTTCTGTTGGTATCTCGTCTGGTTGTTGCTGGTCTTCGAGAGTGCGAAGATGGTGAAAAAGATCAGAGATAACGTGAAGGATGATGATGAGCTTGAAATGTTGCTAGAAGAGATTCCTCAAGCAACATCGCATAATCTTCTTCATCGGCTTCGACATATGTGTGGTGGGAGTGATGATCAGGCGGGCTTTGAAAGGCAGTCGATTCATGGAGTTTTTTATGGCGATGATGATGACCCTTCTTCACAAATTAAGTTTCCTTCTGTCTCTTCACCTGTAAGCGGCTTCTCTCTGCGATCAGATGGTTCTTGTTCAAGTTTGTTTTCCAGTGGGCGACCTTTATCTGACAATGGATCACCAACCCCTCCTCCATTGGAAGAATTTAAATCAAGTATGCTTTCTGGAGTTTCAAATTACCCAAACAGCTTCTGCTTGGATTCAGTGGCACCTGATTACCCTGCCACAAAGAAGGCTAGTGAGAGCTTGGTTGATGAACTGAACCTCTGTGCTCATTTGAGGAACATGTGCGTCAGCAATCAATATGAGAATTCTTGTAATTTCAAAGATGCATCAATGGGCAAGAATGGGCTTCCATTCCGTGGTAATAGTTCTCTGGGTGAAAATAATCCAATCGATGCTTATAAACATGGAGATTACGACAATTTCAGGAGAGAATTTTCCGACCGTGCGTTTGTTCAATCCCCCTTTCCACCTTATCCCATGAGTTTTGATGCCGAAAGAAACACAGCATTGGCAGGATTACCTCGGGATTATCAAATGGGTAATTTATTTGAATCACGACCATGTTCCAGACAAGCTGGTACTATCTATTCTCAATTTAATGGCTTGTGTGGTTCAGTCTACTCTCCTTGGCAAAAAAGACAGCTGATAAATAGCTATCATTATGGAGGAAATTTGGTGACAGAGCGTGCTACTTCTTTGGGTGGACATCCATTGTTTGATTCTTTACATTATGCACAGCAAAGTGGAATGAATTTGATGGAGGACAGGGGCATTTCAAGATTGCCTGATCCTTCCCTTTGTACCAATTTAAGGCCTTATTTGAGTGTTCAAGATTTTCTGCAGCACAATCTTCCTAGCTCTAATGCAAGAGCTATTCCACCTTCAAACGTTAGAATCCCACAAGGTGGTCTAGATGCCATTACTAGTGAGGGAAGCTTCATCATTCAGGGTGAAGGTTTGAAACATTTGCCTGTAAGAGGTTCTGATGTTTCATGGGGTCATAGTAAGGGTGGTGTGCGCGAAGCTCACTTTGCGAAGCATCTACAAAGGTCAGAGCTGGACAACCAGCCGCAGGTGTTACGATCTTGTAAAAATCCTCAGAGTGCTAGGAGTGGATGCTCGTTCCCTTTAGTAACTGAGTATAATTCCCTCGCAGAAGTTCAGGGATACATATATTTATTAGCCAAAGATCAGCATGGCTGTAGATTCCTGCAAAGGGTGTTTGACGAGGGTACACCACAAGATGTTCAAGTTATATTCTCTGAGATCATCGAACATGTGGTGGAACTTATGATGAACCCTTTCGGCAATTACCTTATGCAGAAGTTGTTGGACGTGTGTACTGAAGAACAGAGGATGCAGATCCTACTCATGATTACTAAAGAACCAGGGCAGCTAGTCAGAATCTCTTTAAACACTCATGGGTATAGTAATTAACTCATGCAAATGGGACAATATGATAATGATTTTTCTATTATTGGTTTTGACATCACCTTTTCTTTCAGCACTCGCGTGATCCAGAAGCTGATTGAAACTCTCAAGACTAAACAACAAATTTTGCTTGCTGTATCAGTCCTTGAACCAGGATTCTTGGCTCTCATCAAAGATCTAAATGGAAATCATGTAATCCAGCGTTGTTTGCAGTGCTTGAGCAATGAAGACAACAAGGTATGGTTTCTCTCCTCTCCAAGTAACTAGTTTATATATTGGGTAATATGTTTTTATAGGATGTTGATGATGGAAAGACAAGCTTATTCTTTTACAAAAGATACATTACAGGAAAGCATTATGGTGGTGTTTGTTCTATACTTCTGTTTGGCAGTTAGATATTGCAGCTTTGCCCAATAATTTGAGAACTTCTGTCTTGCTACCTGATTATGTAATAATTTACTTCTCTTGTATTTATAATGTCTATCTAGTGAAAAGTGAGTGTTCCTGCCTGTTCTACTGCATTTCACCATAATGAGATACAGGCAAATTGTAGTGCCAGGTTCAGCCACACATCTGACATTTGTTAACATGTTGACAAATATCATTATGTTTAAGCATTAAGAGCAATTTATTTAAAGACACGCTCCTCAATCTCCTTCATCATTATCATGTATCTCAATAATTATATCATTTCCATATTGTTTTATAACATCATCAGATTTATCTGTTTGCATTTTAACCTTTCAATTGTGGTTGGGTGTTGGCTCCTGTTTTTACTGAATGTTCTTCGCAGCATATTCTTCCCCCTTGTATTGGAAATTTAGAGAAGCTTATGTCACTATAAAAATTATGTTTTGAAACCTTTGAAACCTTGTTGAATCAGTTGTTTTTGTTGTTTTTGGGGGTTAAATCAACCTTATGAACTGAAGACAAATTATGAAGTCAGTGGTTGTTACCATGGTTAATTATTTTAGTTATCAATATAATTTGAATGCAATACTGTTATATTCTGGAAACTGACCTAGAGATTAAAAAAGTGATTCTCTTTTTGTAAGTTGCGAGATTCTTGCATGGCAAAATGCTTCAAAGTTTTGAAACTTCCTAATTATGCCTACACTAACCATAATAAAAGGATGCAATATGCTATGGTTCTGGTTCTTCTGATCTTTGCCATGATGATATTAATGGTGCTTGAACAATGTCATCCTCTTTTGTTTTATTATGACATTACATGATATGCTCCCCCATTTATCTATTGGTTCTTGCTCCATGCAAGCCTTGCAATATTTGATCTCTCGACATCCAAAGCTGTTTTATGCAGTTTCGTGCTTCTGTGAAACTGTGGATGCTTTTGGGCATTATCCAGTAGCTGAGTTCTGTTCTCTGCAATGGAGTCTGTCAAAAATATCCCTTCCCATGAATGAACATAATGATTTATGTTATGAGTTTCTTTAGGATTCTCATTTTCTTTTGCAAGAATGCGTGCAAATTTTTAAGTGAAGTACCAAAAAACAAAAAAAAAAAAAGGCACCTTAATAATGAGCTGTGGCCAAATGATTTTACCAGGCTTAATAAAGATGTTAGCCACTTTCTCTGCCTTTGTATTAGAAGTTATTATATAAAATTCTTTATAAAAAAACATGACATGTACAGAACCAACTCCTGAATATGCTTGTAAATTTATAAAACTTTGTAATTTGTAAACTGTGAGAGGCTTCGAAGTTCAAAGAACTGATATATAATTGGTTGATGATCTCTTGGGTAAAAGACATTCTCAAAAGTAGTTATAGTGGCATCTATTTTGATGCAGGTTGCTTAGTCTTAAGGCCAGCTATATACCGGACGGAAGAAGTTACTTTTAGCAAATATATAGAGCTTTCTAAATGTAGGAAATATTGTTGCTAATTCCCCTATTTCATGCTTAATGTTCCCAAAATGAATTGTCTGGATGATTAATGATATAACTATCTTTTTTTCTTTTCACTCAATTGGTATTCCATATCTGCCTATTGATTTAGGCGTGGGCCTGCTAATTTCTTATGGTTTTCCTTGTTACTGCATGGAGCAGTTTATATTTGTTGCTGCTGCAAAGTATTGTGTTGACATTGCAACTCATCAGCATGGATGTTGTGTTCTGCAAAGATGTATTGGTCATTCCAGAGGGGAGCATCGTCAACAACTGGTTGCGGAAATATCTGCTAATGCATTTCAGCTAGCTCAAGATCAATATGGGTAATTATTAGAAGAACATTACTTTGTTAATATATCCCCGAATCCTCATGCAGATGTACAAAGGATTTTATTTCTTGATGAATAATTCATTGTCAGGCTAAAAAAACCTGTATTTTCTGTTTTGCTCTGCAAAATAACTTAAACTATGCTAGAAGATTTCCTTGTACTGTTTGTGGAACTTAGCTGCTAATACATATATGTGATAGAAATATGGGAAAATGATTTTGAAAGCAAATGCTTCAGTTTGAGCACTAGATATGGATCCTCTGCATGTGATAATTCATCATTCCTTAGGCTAGGAGAGAATTTACTCACTTGATTTTCAAATTGAAGACCATACATAATGTACTATTTCTGCATGATTTAATCGTTGCATTTCAAAATTATGCTGTTGGAATTTCTGAGAGATGTAGAATAGATTATCCCTTTTGGCTTTTCCACCCTTTCAGCTGTTGGTTTTTCATGCCCCGTGCAGAAATTATGTTGTCCAATATATCTTGGAGTTGAGGATTCCATCTGCCACTGCAAGTATAATTTCGCAATTGGAAGGTAGTTACATTCACCTGTCAACACAGAAGTTCAGCAGCCATGTGGTTGAAAAATGCCTTGCTGTATTCAATGATGAACATCGTGCACGAGTCATCCATGAATTGCTTTCAGCTCCTCATTTCGAACAGTTGCTTCAAGACCCACATGCAAACTATGTCATTCAATCAGCTCTTCGACATTCTGAGGTTTGTAACACAGACTGACCACTTGTTGTAAAGGCTTTATCATTTAAGTGATTCAACAAACCCATGAATTTGATCAGTTTGACATCATGGTATGCTATATCTCAGCTGAATATGTATTGTATAAGAAGTGTACATGTATGTGGGGTTTCCTTTTCTCATGCTTTCCTTTTCCTCCTAAACCAGGGCTATGTGCATAACATACTGGTTGATACAATTGAGTCACACAAAGCGATTTCGCGAAACAGCCCATATTCGAAGAAGATTTTCTCGCAGAAGCTTCTGAAGAAATGATGTATCTTGTCGCCATTCACAAGAAGTTTTGTTGTTGTTCTAGTTTGCTAAAAGCATGTTGGAATCTACCTCTACTACTACACTTATATGCATTGCATGGTTATTTAACTGTAAGTTGGGATATTGGTAGCCATTCAAAGCTGTTAGCCTTTTTCAGAAGTGCTTATGCATTTTTCTTAGGCAGTTTAGGTCAAAGAATGGAGTGGTGGAAGAGAAGAGGACAATTTTGCTACTCCTAATTTTTTTTTTTTAAAGAATTGCGCATGTATTATATATCTGTATCTCCAACAACTCTTTGGAAATTGTTATCCTGTTAATTATGCTTTTTTCCCCTTTCTGTATGGAACTGTGGATGGTGTATATATAATATTAATTAGGATAACACTTTCCTCTATGAGGATTATTTCCTCTGTTTTGTGCACAAAGGAATGGGTGGTGTGTGTTCCTTGTTAGTCTTTGATATCTCCTTTAGTTACTCATTGCCAAATTTGCAGGACTGAATAAAATCACCTAACGATTGGCGGCCATCCAAAGCCCATATCTTTTAATTTAACCTGTGTATGCTTACACATGCTTGCATCTCAAAGATGTGGGCTTAGGAGACTCCACCTCAAGGTAACATTCAGATAGGAGGAATGAGGGTAAACAGTAGATTTCTTTCAATAAGTTGGGACTATGATTTAAACTTCTAATTACTATTTGTTTAAGTGACATGAGGTCCTATCAATCATATCAACTTGAGTTGGTGGTATAATTTACTCTTTATTTTCCATTGATGTTTGCATTGGTTTTGGAAAATAAAAAATAATTTTGTAATTTTGTTACAGAATTCAAGAAAATTTTTATGAAATTTATCCCTTTTTGTGGAGATTTATATGAATTCTACAAATAGGGTGGTAATTAGCATAATTTTAGCAAAATCAACAGGGAAAAAAATCCAATGACTTTTTCTTTGGCCTATGTAATTTATTGTTTTTAAATAAAACTAATCGTTGAGTTATTACAAAAAAAAGGGAAAAACAAGCTAGATACTTTAACTTAATTCTTAATTTATTAATTACTAATTCAAGGTATAGTTTGTCCCATAAGGCATCAAAAGGGTACAAGAAACAACTTGCTTTGTTAATTATTGTGAAAGGGAATAATAACCGATTTAGTCCGATTATAACTTGGTAGTACCTTGATGGTGGAGCCTGAAAGTGACCATTTGATGTTATTATCAATTTTTGGAGGCCTATCAGCAAAATCAGTGACCAAATGATTATTACCTTTCTTCCAGGAAGCGTATCATCCAATTTTGAACACTAAAAGTGTTTTCTTGTCAACAAATATTTGTCCAGCACACAGTTGCCTTAATTAAAAGCATATAAGAATTCAATTTTTCTTTTTAATTTCATGGCTGGGTAATTGGAGAAACCTAAAGACTACTTTTAGCCCAATCTAATCTAAACTCTCGTTGTATGGGATTATTGTTATCAACAAAGGCCTTATGAATATTTCAAAAATATCTTTAATATATTTATTTAGTACAATTGCATATCCTAAAATTTAAATTTAAGATTTTAAAATAAGTTAATTAAACTCCCTCAACCAGTCAGTAGGTTCAATTTTTAGTATAAGCTATATTTTCAACAAACACAAAATAGAGCCTAGTGAGAATTAAATTTAGAATAATTTTTGAAGTGTAATTTTTTCCCACTCCACTCAATTATGTTTGTTTGTGATTTATTGGTAAGTAAGTTTTCAGCATGATGTTGAATATTTTTAATTTAATTTTTTGATTATTTCTTGAATAATTTGAAATTAAATTATTTATATCTAATTTGAAAAATAACTTATTTTTTTAAATTTAAATCTTTATGACTTAAGTTTGTAATTAACAAAGGGTAAAGGAGAATTTTTTCCTTTGACGTATTTTCTGAGGATCATTTGGTATCTTAAAATATTTGTTAGAGCATTTTCACTTCTAAAGTAATTAAATTGAAGGATCCTTTACTTATCATTAAATCCCCAAAAATGTCTGCTAAGTTAGAATTCAATTCAATTTAACCTTTTCTAATGGGCGTTTCTAAGAATTTAACAGCAGGATAGAAAATGTTCTAATTTAGGTAGGATAAAAACTCTAACAAATACTTTAAAATACTACGCGCCTCTCAGAGAATATTTTAAAAATAAAAATATACTTTTACCCATTAAAAAATTGCTTAATTCTTTATTTTTCACATAAATAGATAATTAGGTAAAATAGTTTATTTAACTCTCCATCTCTCCCAGAAAATAAAAGATTTTGAGATTTTCGTTGAGGATTATTTAATTATTATATTTAGGCTAAAATACTCAAAACGTCCCTCAACTTTACATTAGTTCCACGTAAATCCCTTAATCTTTAAAAGTTGAAATTGTAATTTTGCTTTTTCGAATTAGCTAGAAAAGGTGTTAATTCATGTCAGAAGGTGATAAACCCAAATCGTATCAGTCTCAAATTAACTAAGCTATGACACGATGTGTATAGAGTACAACTCAAGTTATTCTTTCCAACGAATTAAATTGAGATTGATTTTAAAACTAATTTCTACTTATATAAACTATATGAAAGAGTTTTAATTTAATTACCTAAAATGCAATTAAAATAACCTAGAGTAATATTTTTGTGCTTTCCAGTTTTTATTGAAAAATGAATGTATGTGTTCAATTATGAATGGTATATTTCTTAAAGTTTAATGGAATGCAATCCTTGTTACAATTATTGAATTGGCTAAGCTTTCATTTTCTTTATTCTTATGTATCCCAAACAACCATTTGAGCTTAGCAAGCATAGTCATCACAGTCCTAGACTTTAGCAAACATATAACAAACTAGACTTACTTCATTGAGTTCCTAATATGTAAATTGTTAATGAATATGTTAAAAATAACCATAAATAGTACCAAATTTGAAATTAACCAATTGATTTACTCCAAATCAAGTTTTCAATTACTAAACGATGAAATCACACTATTTAATATATTGGACCAATTCTATAACAAGGTAAGCATGTGAATAAAACAATAAAGATCAAAATTCTAGCAAAGAATCCAGCATTCCAATAGCCAAAATACAAGTTTCTTCAATCAAATATCTCCAACATTTTATCAAACACTAAAGTGTTAGGTTGTTCATCTTTAGTGGATTGAAGTCCAAAAATGAAAGCCCAATTAGAGTAGGGATTTTATCATAATATTGGGAAGATTAGAGTTTCAATGAGTAATGTGGTTAGAGCATCAGATGTAATTTTCTCCCCTCTATTTGAACTAGAGTGGGAATGGTTTTATAATTGTCTACACGCATTTGTAGGTAACGTCCTAATATGGGTGATTTTATCTAGATGACTGGTATGTGTATATGTTAAAATGATTTATTCCCAGACTTCTCTCCCCTCTCTGTGTTTTTTCTTTTCTCTCTCAGGGTGTATTTGTCGTGTAACATGAATCGAGTACATACCTATGACTTTGTTCTCACATTTGGTATTCCATCAGAGCAACATAACAAGTATGTTTCCTCCTCTGAAATCTATCATAAAGTATACTAGTTACAATACCCCAAATCAAATTAGAAAATTTTAAAAAATTGCAACAAGAATAGAGAAGAAACTAGAATTAAAATTGCTTAGCCTCTTGAAGCTTAAGAACTCTTGCACATTCACTTTGTTCCTGGGAATCAAGTGATCAAATTGTAAGAGTCTTGATGAAGGAAATGAGATGATCGAATTGAAATGGAAGGATTTTAATAGGATCGAATAGAGAGGATTTCAATTGGTTAAGAGTTGGATTTAAAGGGAGGACATGCACAAGATTTAGAAGAAGAGAAATGAAGAGAGGTGGAAAAGAAGAGAGAAAAGGACGAAGAGAAAGAAGAGAAAGTGGAATGAATAAATGAATGTGCGATCAGTGAATAGGAATCGTGAATGTATTGTGAAAGATTGGAGAGAAGAATTAAAGTGTGCAGCACGTGATTGTTGAATTCAGAAGGAGAAGAGGTAGTGGCAATTAAAGAGCAACCTCAGCATGGATTGGAGTGAATTGTGATCCTTTTTTTTAAAAAAAATTTTATGGAAATTAATTCCAGATCTGAAAAATTAGCCAAAGAGTGGTAATTTCAAAATTGATGGAATGAAAAATGAATTGCTACGTGGAAAAATTAAAAGAGTGGTAAATGTAGGAAATGGAATTGGTGAGAAGATGTAATGGAAGTCCAAAAGAATCAAGAATGATTTAGAAAAAATATTAACAATAAATAGAGAAAAAATAAAAAAAATGAAATGAAAATAGGAGAAAGGAAATTTTCCAATTTATCCTCTTACTTCTTCTTTTTTCCATCTAGTAACCTACACATAACATGATAAAATCAATACAAAATATATTTGGAGTTTTTGCAGACATTGCTCATGTTATAGAACCAAATTAAGTAATGGCTCAACATTTTTTATATTTTACATTATGGCCAATTTATTATATTTGTCAACAATATATTATTGTATATCAATGATAAGCCGATTATAAATTTTTGAATTTTTAATGATAAACCCTTTGTATATTAATAATAAATTCTTTATATATCAATGTAAATCAGCCATATTTTTAAATTTTTAAAAAATTGGTTCATATTTTTTGGGCACAAAATTTTTTTCAGCCAATGAGCTAATTTATTCAATATATTTTAGGGAATTAAAAATAATATTCAATAAAATATCACAAAATTTGCAATGAATCCCAAAGATTCCCTAAAAATATCTCCTTGCCCTTTAACACCAAATTATTCCTAAAATATATCAAAACAAGTGTTAAAAGGCTGAGACAAGAGAGGTAAAAATGTTTAAAATTTATGAACTATCACAAGGTTACGCTAGATAACTATGACTTATGATGGTTTATTATGAAATGCAATATTAAAACCTTTCATTCCTGTTTTTGGTATTAAGGGGTTGAGGAGTGAAAATTTAATATGGTGGTATATATGTGCATGTAGTGTGTTATACAGGTTGTCGTAAATCTAATAAGTATGATTTGAGTGTTAAGAATAGCTTTTGGCATATGTTTGGAGTTTTGGACACCTTTTAGTTGTGACAGTTGTGAAAATGTGTTTAGGTGTCTATAACATCTGAGAAAATTAAGTATGATTATTTAACTTAAATGAGTATAATTAATGAATTGATGAGTTGTGTGGTTAGAGGAGCCTAATTGGTGTAATTAATTGTGATTTCAGCCTTAAAAGTGGGTTTGGATAAATGGTAGGCTACCTGGGCATGGAAAGAGAAAGAAAACATGAAGGAATGCCTGCTATGCCACATGCTGCAGTGTGTGATCAATTCACCATGATGCATAGAGGTAGATTTAAATGCAACATACATCTTTGTGTTATGTGCCGCGGCGAGTGACACATGGCCAAAATCATAATTTAATCAATTCATTTCTATATGTGAATAATAGAGAGGAGGAAAGGAGAAACATGAAGAGCACATTAAAGGCTTTGCTAGGGCATAACATTAATTCCTATTGGTGATGTTATGAGACTCCCAAACACCCAAGGTAAGTAATTTATGCATCTCTCTTCCCTTCTCTCTCTCATTTATAGATATTTAAGTTAGGGTATGAGTTAGGAAGTTGTTTTCAGTTCATAGGAGCTATGAGTTTGAACCCATTGATTAAAATGGGTATAATAAAAGTTGTTTAAGGTATTGGAACACAACATTAATGATTGTTGAAGTGGTTGGTTCATGTGAGTAATAAATATCTAAAAA